TATGAAGCAAAAATTTAGGTATATTCAAAACATGTAAATAAATTCAAATATGAATTTCTAATTCATGATAAAACGGTCGAAACTAATAAAAATCTATCGAGCAAAACTGTAATCAAAATGTAAGATAGTTTAAAACTAAACTACATAAATCAGTCAAATATAAATGAAATATACTTTAACAGATTACAAATCAAATAAAATACATTAAGAAAGTACAAAAAAGAAATAACATTGTCAATTAGAAAGTAATAACCTATTAAAACCACAATTAATTATCAAACATGTGCACAATTTAATCTACAAATAAAAACATGAATGAAATATTTAACCTAAAGTAAAATAGGTTGATACACAAGTTTATGTAAAATAAAATGTTAGAATTTAATCAAAATTACTTAAAAAGATGGAGATCGTAAAATTTTAGGTAACTTCTTAAAGAACGTTACCATATAAAACTATTTGATTGTTTGATATTATTGCTCTCATAATAAAACGTCTATACAAAATACAAATTCAAATGTATACAAAAGAAAAATAAACACGAGAACAAGATGATAAGCCTATAAGATCGGAATATATGGACCCTAAATATTTGAAACAAACTTAATTTTAATTTGAACTGCTATCACAATAATATAATCGATGAACTAGAAATGTTAAAATAATAACCTATTAAAATCCAAATTTACCTAGAGAAAATAATAAATATTTATTAACCGTACGAAATACATAAAAGAGTTGAAAATACTCAAACCATGTAATATTATTAACAATTAATTAGAAAACAGAATGAATTAGACAAATGTAAAAATGTATAAGCTTAGGAGAAGCAAAATTTGTAAGCAATCATCGGTTCAAAAATACATTAAAAACCTTAAAATGTACAAAATAAAATAAGGATAAAAAAAAATTTCAATTGAATCCAAAATACCGTATTATAATAATATAATATATTATATAATTAAAAACGACTTATGGAAAAAACACATTTGTATAGACGTGAAAATGTAAAAAACGTAAAATAATTATATTAGAAAATCATAAATTTATACACAAGTATAAAAATTACATAAACATAAATAGGAACGCAATATTTTAACCAACACTTCACCCATTTGAAAGCAAAATTACGTACAATACTTCAACAGAAAAAAAAAAAAAACACTTTACAAGTAAAATGCTTTTATAAGCGAGAGCCATGTAAAAGTTAAATCCATAGATCAAAACCTAGTCAAATTTAAAAACATGTAAAACATGAATTCAAAATCACATTAAGAATAATTAAAGAAAAAATTAAGCTTTATGTTAAGCAAGCACATTTTTAATTAGATAAACTGTTAAAATTCAGAGACGAAAAAAGATAAAGTCAGAAGAAAAGTCACTGTAAGTTAAAAGTAAAAGAAATTAGAATTATAAAAAA